ACGTGGGCAGCCACTTAAACTGGGAACTTGGAAGTCCTCTTCAATGTATTCACTTTTAATCACCTTTTGATTTTGTGTCTTAACCACCTTGCACACTGCTGACCTTCCCCATCCCCATGGCCACTGCAAAGGGAGCCCCCAACAAATATTTCTTATGTTGGCCAGTCAGTGATTGTGTAACCACGATCACTCTGCCTTTGACTTTCTCCTCACCCTCCTGCTAAAAATTATTCACCTACAACAAATATTTGGCCATGTGACTTCTTGGGTTTTCCCTGTGACCTATGGGACTGAGACCAAGCTCCATAAACTCTTTGGGAACTAGCCCTTCCAACATCTTTCTGTTCCCACTTTGTTAACCCACCCGCCCAAACCACAAACACAGTTCCATCTGGCTAAACATTCCCTTCTCCTCTCCTCCATCTGACTTCTCTCTTACTTTACCACTCAGGCATCCCAGATTCTGGGCTATCTTGCCTGCTTTCCCTCCTCACCCCTATCCCCAGGTATGGACTCACAGCTCCTTGTGTTGCCTTATCATAGAATTGATCATGACAGAAGATAATACAACATAATAGCTATTAATACAGGCTCTTTATATCAGACTCCCTGGATTCAAATCCCTGCCACGCCACTTGATAACTGTGTAAACATGAGAAAGTTGCTTAACCTCTCTGAGCCTCACTTTTCTCATCTGTAAATAGGATAATAATGCCTCATAAGGTTACTGTGAAGATTAAATAAAATAGTTCATGCAATATACTTAAAACAGTACCTGACACAGAATTGTTCTCCCACTATTTAAGTGACAGCTATTATTATCTGCTTTATAATTTGCTTGTCTGACTGTCTCATAAGACATATGGACTAGATTAGGATCTCATTTGTCTTTCTGTCTGTACTTGACAGAGATAAGGATATAGTAGACCCTTGAGAAGTTTCCACTGAATTAATGATGGAAAGATGGATAAATGGACGATGGATGGATTATTGGATGGATGGGTGGGTGGGTGGATGGACAGATGGATGGATGGATGGATGGATGGATGGATGGATGGATGGATACATGCAGGCATGCAGGCATACATGCATGCATGGATAGGCTCATGGATGGATGGATGGATGGATGGATGGATGGATGGATGGATGGATGGATAGATGGCTGAACGGGTGGGTTTATGATCTAGATGGATGGGTAGAAAGTCAAATGGGTGGTTAGATAGACAACTTTGTCCTGTTTAAATTGTATGGAACAAAAGAAAACTGTGCCTGAAGTCAATCTTGTCAGCTGGCTGAAATAAGGTTCTGCAGTATGTGATTTATTAAGTTTGGGGTTATTGTTTTGTTTTGTTTTGTTTTCTAAGCACAGCTGTCTTCCTGCTTAGAATTTTTGGTTTCAGGCAATCTGTTACTTGCAATATCACTCTGTATTCTTGTAAATTTAGACCTTCAGTAAATCTTCTTCAAGGTTTAGAAAAAAACACACATGTAAACTGTTTTGGTCACAGAGTAAAGACCTGTGATACTTGACCTAGAAGACTTTGCAGTTTAATTGGGAAAAAAGATTCAATGAATAGAAGTTTGTCAGTTACCATTATCCTGGAGTTGCCTTCCTGCTGGGTCAGAGACAGCACCAGAAGGCTTTTGGTGACACCCAGGATAACTCAGAAAAGCAACTTGGAAAAGGTGGTCTGTGGTTTGAAGGTGAAGAAGGAAGCGTGTTTTCTTGGCTCAGGCCAAGGTGAATCCTGAAGGCTGACAGCAGAAAAACCAGAAGGTCAGAATGCTCAATGTAGTTGAGGAGGAGGTGGCCACTGACAGTAAGGGCATCCAGCTCGGAATGGAGGCCTTGCAACTGGTCCAAAGATACACAACGCCTTTGACCTAGTGAGATATGGACAGTGAGAGTAATTATATCTGCTCCTCAGGGTTGTGGGGAGAATTGAAAGAGATAAGTTGTGACATCCCAATGCCTGACTCCCCAGATTCCTCAAGATATATCCGTTTTCTTCCTTCCTTGAAAGCAGCACAGGCTTGAGGTCAAGAACATGAGCTATAAGCCTTAGAGCCATGTTGCTATCAAATCCAGTTACTAGCTGTGTGATATGAAGTTACTTCTTGTTTGCCTCAGTTTCTCCATCAGAATAATGGGAATGGCAATAATACCTATCTTTTAGGGCAGCTGTGAGGAATACATGAGTTAATAATGTGTGCTAAAGCTGAGAACAATACCTGGCACATAGTAAGTGCTGTATAAGTATTTGTTCTTATTTTATTATTCCTAAAGAGGGGAACACTTTGTTCCTGGTGACCAGAATAAAAAGCAGTAAACCTTATCTCTGTGGATGAGGTGCAGACATAAACCACCCTTCACTGAGCCCTAATACATTCCAGATGTTTAGATTATATCAATTTAGATTAATGTAATTTACATAAAATACTTTATATATTACATATCATATCTAATGTGAGTATAATTTAGATTAATACAATGCTAATGCCTATGGTGATTCTTGGGAATACATAATTATTGCCCCCAAGCTTGAGATAGAGAAACTGGGACTCAGGGCTGTTTAGTGACTTGTTTGAGGTCATGCAGTTAGTTAAGTGGTGGGGCTGAGATGCTAAGACTTATTGTATTTCCACTCCTCAAAGCTGTTTGAGCTGTCAACCTTGGTACATCAATCAGGAAATAGAGGTCCAAAGGGAAGAAGAAGAACTTACCTGCCCAAGATGTCACAATGAGCAATTGAAAGATCTGAGATTATAACGCTGGCCTTTTGATTCTCAGCTCAGTGTTCTTGACAATACAGAAAACACAGGTGTCCTATATGTCTTCATCAAATGGACCCTGAGTTTTATGTCCCAGGGGAATCACTTTCCAGACACTGAACCTGCCAGCAGTGAGGTGGAGAAACAATCTCCTTACAGTGCCAACCTGTATGGCTGGTGAGGGGGATTTGATGCCTTTCTGTAGGAGCTTCCAATTCCCACTCATCGCAGTCCCCAGTTCTTCACCTTCTCATCATCTAGGGTCACGGTTCTTTCAGTCTAGGATATTGAACAGTTTTCTATGTGGCCAGATCTTGCTGCAGTGTGGCTCATTTTCCCCAGCTCAGCCCCTTAAGGAGGTGTAGGGCTTTCCTTCTTCTGTGGCTTCCTATCTTTTAGACTCACTTTCCTTCTGATAGGTAGGGTTGGGCTTTGCCAATTGATGAAAGAAAGACTAGAGATAGCCCCATCTTGGGAGCTTTGGGTATTTCCTACTTGAGATGGGAAAATTTAGGGCTATGAAGACATGTCCCCCACTCCGCAGTTATAAAGACTGTATTTTCCTGTACCAAGCAAATGGGATAATGGTTGCAAGTAATCAAATCATTCAAGAAAAAAGGAAACCATTCTTGTCTACTCAGATGGATATTTGGAGACCTGAATTATCTAGCCATTTTTCTCAATCTGCAAATGTATCACTTATTGTCACTATAGCTAAATCTGATGTGAACTAAGAACAACCCTATTTATTTTCTTACAACATAAGAAAAGTTATAACAAAGGGAATATCATGCTTTTATTTGAGTTTTGTGATTGCTTAGACGCCAGGAGCCAGTAGGGACATTGGAGAGAGATTGAAGCCCGTGATTTTGCAAGCTTTCTTTTGGAGAATGGAATTCTCGGCCATATGATATCTTAAATGAAACTTCAATGTATAAAATAGATTAAAGCGCAGGTGCTTTGGTGGATGGTGGGGGCCAGCAGCCTCACTTGCTCAGTACCCTCCTTCTTCATTACACAGTGCCTGCTATAGAACCCCCAGACTTCTGTGAACACAGTTTGAAAATTACTGATCTAGTTTAATGCACCTAAGGGACAGATGCAGAAATGAAGGCACGGAGAGTTTATTCAAGGTAGAGTCTGTTCAGACTGAAGGTTGGAACTCCTCCCTCTCAGTGCAGTGCTCTTCCAAGATAAGGTTGGACTTTGTGCTGGTCATCTACTGCCATGTAACAAACTACCCCCAAAATCTAATGACTTAAAGAGCAACAGTTATTTATTTTTCTCATGTGTCTTCACTTTGGGCAGAGCTTAAAGGGAATGACTTATTTCTATTCTACGATGTCAGTGGTCTCAGCTGAGGTATCTTGACTGGCGAAAGTAGATTGGCTGGGGGCTGGTGGGACATTTCTTTCTCTTTATGTAGTCTCAGAGGCTCTCCTGTGATCTCTCCAGCATGGTAGCCTCAGGGAAATTGGGCTTCCTCTATGGAGACTGAGGGTTCTAAGAGAGTTATGGACAGAGCTGAGAGGCTTCTTATGTTTTTCCCCAGCTTGGAAAGTCCCAGAACATAATTCCTACCACATTCTGTTCACACAGGGCCAGCCCTGACTCAGTGTGGAAGGGCACTCCACAAGGGCCTGAATACTAGGAAGTGCAGATCACTGGGCAGCCATCTTGGGTACTGGCTATATGATTTCCTTGCTTTGGGTATGACCTTACTAAATTGACTCTGATGTGATTCTGTCTCTTCTGAAATAGAGGAGACAGAAGAAGTTTGGTGTTGCTTAGATCACAGGACATTATCATAGGGAAGAGTGGTAGACTAGTCCTAGGAAGCCACAGAGAGCTGATCCAATACCCCCACCCACCCCCCGCCGACCAAAAAAAAAATCATAATTATAAGGAAGCTAGTTTTGGCTGACCATAAGGAAGAACTTTGAAACAACTACAACAGCCAGCATGAAACTTGGCTTTCTCTGCGTGAGGCCATGAGTTCCCCTATTATAGAAGAGGTCTCTCTTGTTTCTTCTACTACTGGAAATATCTGATTCTCAGCGAAGATGATTAGTAGAGGAACTTGCATCTCCTTGAGCTTAGGGATGCTGAAATAATATGTGCATTTCTAAGAATCAAGATTTCATTAAAAATCTAATTCTTGTTTGTTTGTCTTTTCTTTTTCCCCCATTTTGGACATTTCCTTCATCTGACTGCCCATCAATATATAGAAGAAATGCTTATTCCTACTCCTATTACTTGTAAGTATCGAGCTGGTGTTAACTTTGCTTCGTGCCCTGTAAGGGAACCTGTAGCATGCATTTCCTGCACCAACCAAGTGTCTGTTAGTTTCTCATTTTCACTTCTGTCTAAGCTGTCTGTAGCCTTAAAGTTTTTATTTTGCATAAATATGTTCCATTTGAAAGTGTACTGTCATTGTTCAAGTTCGTTATGTTTCTGCCATCTTGGATTTTTTTCCTCTTATTTTTAGAGATGTGAAGGGCTGTTTCTCCTTTGTGAGTGCAATTTTCTAGTTAGGAATCCCTGAATTCCATCAAGCAGGAGACCAAATCCTGCTGTAGGACTTGCACACGTAAGACAGAATCATAGTCTTAGCAACTTCCGAATCCATTTGTTTTTACCTGGAGAATGGGTAGCCCTGGGGGCTCAAAGTTTAGAAAGGAATTCATTGGCTGTTTCTGCTATTTCAGAAAATCTGCAGGGATTCGTTACTTCATCTAGAACCAGCCTCACAGGTGAAAGAAACATCCAGTGTCTTTGCTTTGGGCTGGGATTATGTGTTTGGTGTTTAGCATTATTTATCTTATGTTATCAACGCATTTTGTTGGAAGTTATAGATGGGTGCTTGCTTATCCATTTTTTTGCACTCGCTAAAAAATAGTGATTATTTTCCTTATTAATAAAACAGAGGGCCGGGTGTGGTGGCTCACGCCTATAATCCCAGTACTTTGGAGGCCAAGAGAGGGTGGATCACCTGAGGTCAGGAGTTCAAGACCAGCCTGGTCAACATGGTGAAACCCCGTCTCTACTAAAAATACAAAAATGAGCTGGGTGTGGTGGCGGGCGCCTGTAGTCCCAGCTACTCAGGAGGCTGAGGCAGGAGAATTGCTTGAACCCAGGGGTGGAGATTACAGTGAGCCAAAATCATACCATTGCCCTCCAGCCTGGGCAACAAGAGCAAAACTCTGTCTCAAAATAATAATAATAATAATAACAACAACAACAGCAACAATAGAGATTCTCAAAACATGAGAGCAAAGGAGAACAACTCTGTACAATAGATCCTTGGTGATAAAAAGTTAGAAGGCCCCTGAACTAGTCCCACATTCCTAATATGCACTTTCTATTTTTGGAAATTGAGAGGTTGTAGGGACCTTAGAAAGAGACTGAAGGATGTGAATTCATGGCACATCCAGCTAGCAAAAGAGTGGGATTAAAACAGGTAATGCCTGGCTTCCAGTAAAGTGTATTACTTATCACTCCATGTCTTCCCTCACCTCTGGCAAACTCAGCTTTATGAGAGAGGCTGTGCCTAACAGCATTACCTGCTGAAGACTTCACAGATAAAAATGGAGCCAGCAAAAGGCTGCCCCATCCCCTCTGCTCAGTGTTGGGTCCACAGGTCTTTAGGACGGGTACTACCACCCTCATGTTGTATGGGAACAAATGGACCCCTATCACCAATACTGGAAGTACCAGATCACTTATGCCATGTGTTTATTAATTCATCCCACAAACATGCTTTGAACATGCACATTATGTTTCAGACGGTGTGGATGAAGAAATGACTAGAACTCAGAGGTTCAGCCTCACAGTATTCAAACCTATCTGAGAGACTAGCATAACATCACCTATTAGAAACATCAGCTGAGAGACGCCTCTACATACTGTGGTACAGGAGCGCTTAGTTGAGTGACAAATTTTTTATATTGCAGGGGATAGTTATCAGTGTATTCAGAGATGGCTTTACACGTTACTGAAAAAATTAAAGTTCTGATTAGAGGAAACTGCATCTGCAAAGGAACAGAGGTACAAAACAATATGGTGTGTCATTGCTATGGTGGAAGGAGAATGAGCTTTAGGAGTGATGCAGCTCTGGGCTCATGTCCTGCCTCTATCATGCACTGGTTATAGAGCCATGGGCAAATTTTCTAAACCTTTTGATTCTCTTTTCTCTTAATTATAAAATGAGGATAATAGTGTCTGACTCACAGAGTTGTTGTGAAGAGGAGATGAGATGATTTTGTAAAGTGCCTGGCACAAAGTTGACACTCGTGAAATATTAGTTTTGTTCCCCTTTCAGAAACCACAGGGTTCATGGCACGAATGGTAGTCTCTGAGAGCCCCTCTGTTCTTCCAGGGCCTCTTAGGTTATGCATGTTTCACAGCAGATGTGGGCATACAGGGACCCATCACCACCTCTGGCATCTCACCCCCATCCCTCTATCAGCCAGTTTGCCTATCAGGGTCTTTGAATGCCCACTTTATATAGTGTTGTGTGCTGGGTGCTGGGGTGGAATCCAAGATGAGCAGTATGAGAGGACAGAGGATGGATCTGCACGTACTTGCAGTTGAAGGTCCAGTGATTTACAGGCCTTTCAGTTGGTGCAGACATGAAGTTCTGTGCCACAGGTCCCAGAGCAGGAAGCTCATACCAGTAGCAGGATGCAGAAGCATCTGGATAGGACACAGGGTTTCCATAATTATCTTCATTTTATATTCACCCACCTCAGGACCCCCATGAGGGTCATATATTGTATGCCACTGCAAATAGCCTGCCTTCTATAGAGAAACCTTAGGTGGTTAGATTTTCTCTTAAGCACCGTCTTCCCATCCCAACTACCACCAAGCACTTGTGAGAGATGAACCAGTTCCTTGACTTAAAGGGATTGAACAGGTAAGATATGTTTAATCATTTATACAGGAGAGGAAAATAGGAAACCACCACCACATGCCAAGTATTTTGTACACACATTTGCTCACTGAGTCCTTTGAATAGCCTAGTTCAGTAGGTACCATTATCCCTATTTAATGGGAGAGAAATTGCTCTGAGAAGCTAAGTCATTCCCCCAAAGCTACCCAGAAGTAGATGGGAGGGAGAACAGATTATCCTGGAAATAGAGACCTCTTAGGGTGAGAAATGGTCATGTGAGTCATATGTGTATGACTCTGGATATATTGCAATGAGAATGCTGGTGGAGCTCCCAAGCAAAAACATCCCTTGGGAACTTGGAAATGCAGAAGTGAAGTCTAGGTGGGATGTGGATGTTTGGAACCTTCCCCTGAGAGGTGGCAGATGAGAGTGCCAGGTGAATGAAAGCAGGCCTGAAGAACGAGGACAAGAACAGAGGGCTAAGGGTCAGGGGCTGAGGCCCAGGAACTGGCCATGATTATAGAAATAGAAGAGGAGAGGAACTGGCAAAGCAGACAGACAGATAGGAGTAAAACATAAGGCCCAAGAGGAGAAGGTTTTTGCAGCAGGGGGAGTTAGTTGGCCATAGCAGATGATGGATGGGGTGGGCTTGGGCATGGCCTTGACATTTGACCATCAGAAATCACTTGCACAGGTTTTAGGGATGAAGATTTAGGAGGAAGCCATCCTGCTTAGGGACCATGAGTAGGATCACCTTTTTTGTAAAATGGAGGAGAAACATGATACTGGCCTCCGGAAGGATTAGAAAGTCCTGGGCAGACTATAGTCTATAGTCTATAGTTTAGTTATAGTGGAGGAGCCTGGCCAGAAGGAAGGGGCTGAAGATGCTGGAGGCAGAGGCTATGGACGGGAAGGTCTGGAGGTGAGGTGTTTGGTCACAGGCAACAGTGTAGGAGAGGAGGAGGAACAGGTCTTGGAGACCATAGGATTGAGAGAGGCATGGAGATAAGGAAGAGGAAACAGAAAGGAAAGGATGTCCCCCTATGTGCTAGTATATACCCTGAGGGGGAGCCTTGGAGCCTCACTCCTCAGTGTGTGGACCATGGACCAGCAGCATCAGCATCACCTGGGAGCTTGTCGGAGATCTAGCATCAAGGGCCCCAGCCCAGACCCCTGAATCAGAATCTGCATCATAACAAGGTCCCAGGTGATTCATACACAAGTTAGAGAATCACTGACTTAACTGGAGTCTCACTCGTTTTATCTATAAAATAGAAAAAGTAATACCCTCCTCATAGGTATTAGGGGCCCCTGGTCCTTTTAATGAATAAACACTGATTTCATTGAAGAGATTGGTTAGCCAAAGGGTGTCCTCTCTTCAACACACTTTGACTAACCAATCTCTTCAATGAAATCAGTATTTATTCATTCCACAAATACTTGTGGAATGCCCTCTATATGCTAGGCATTGGACAAGGTTCTGGGTATATAGGAGTTAGCACAAGTAAAAATCCCTACACACGTGGAGGTTTTTTAGTAGAAGAGGTAGAAAATAAACAACATATATAACAAAAATAAATAGTATATAGTGGTAAGAGCTAAGAAGAAAAAATAAACTAGGGAAAGAGGAGATAAAGTATGGTGGGGGAGGAGCAGAGGAATTCTATTTTTCCCCCAAAATAAAGAGTCCGTCAAGTGCTCTCCATCACTGAAAGTATCCCTACACAAGAACAGTGGTCCATAAATATTTTCCATAGGGAGCCAGACAGTTAAGTCTTTTCGGCTTTACAAGCCAATGTGTTCTGTGTCGCATCTATGCACCTCTGATGTTGTAGCGTGAAGTCATAGCGATGTGTTTGAATCAGTGTGGCTGTGTTCCAATAAAACTTAATTTTAAAAAACCAAGCAGTGGGCCAGATTTGGCCCACAGGTCACAGTTTGCCAATTATTGCCCTAGAGTTTTGAGAGTAGAGAGAGGGTGTGGTTCAAGATTCATCTTGTTTTATTGAACTCCTGCTATGTACTTTACCCTGTGCCTGATACTGCAAGCACAAAAGTGAATAAGGCACACCCTATACCAGACTACAAAAGGGCAGAAGTTGAAAGGCATTAACAGTTGGTTCCTACTATATATACTCACCCAATGCTTATAACAAGCCCTGCAAAGTATATGTTATTGTGTTGATTTTATTTAGATGTTAAGACTGAAGTTTGAAGACTTGTCTATTGCTCACAGCCAGAATGCAGCAGGGTTAAGTTTGAGCTCAGGACCACATGGCCCACAAGCTCTACCCATTCTTCTTACTAAGCCCTGTTCTTTGGGAGATGGGGGCACTTCTGCCTGGACCATGTGCTTGGAGCACATCA